TCTTTTCTTCCTCCCATCACAGAAGGTGAGATTGGACTCACAGATACCAAATTTATATACAGTCTTATCATCATCTAAAATGATGATAATAAGATAATGTATATTAAAAATGTATATAAAACAGCTGCCTTTGATATGTACATTAAAAGTTTTAACTAGATTAATCTGTGCATTATTGTATTATAAAAGTGGTCTGCTAAACACCTCAAAAATAAAAGCAAAAGACAAGATTTGCTACACATTCTTTATAGTTCTGTAATTCTCAGTTGTGAGCTCTGAGTATCATAATAGAGACATTACACATACATTGCACAGAAGATGCTTTACTGAGAGTGTAGCAGTGATAATGTTTTATTTTCATTTAATTTGTGGATATATACGGTTTACCACCATATAGGAAAAGAGGCACATTTTAAACTAAATCTGTGTTTAATTTCAAGCTTTAAAATTGACTGTTGATCTGCCAGTAGAGTTTATTTTGCATCCAGCATATCAGATTTCAAATGGCATAACAACATGATGCAGATTTTATGTCAACTTAATGGAGACATAACTATTTCCATGCATGTTAAAATCTATGCTATAAGTAGTGCAAGACTTACTGTAATGATAACTTCAAGAAACAAAAAATAATTGTTGAAACCATCAGTAATATTTCTTATTTTGTAGAACTGATGCTTCAGCACATATGAAAATTATTTTATTGTGGCTTTATTTTAAAAACGGTTCAAGTGGTGTGTGCATTTTTGAAGCCGAAAAAATAGAATGCATATATATATTTTATATACAGTTCTATTTTTTATTTAATATAGGAGAATTAAAAGTTGTTTATTTTTTAAAAATCTGGTCCATATTAAATGTCACATGCCAACCATTATACACGTAAGATAAGTGAATTATGAATTACTACGTTGTGTATAAATGTATTTTCACTGTAGGAGAACCACTCCTCAAAAGAAGAGACATCGCTTGTCAGGTTAGCAATATACTTCTTATGTTTATGTAAAATAATATGAGAAGTTTTCTCTTTAAACACCTGCTGGAAAATTTTTATAATACAAAGCAAAGTAAATCTCAAAGTCTAAGCTATGTGAAAAGACCACAAACTTCATAAAAGGAGAGCTGTTGGTCCTTTTGACCTACAGAATATTCTGTGTAGTTTCGCAGTCATATCTTATGGATTTTTTTAAAAATCATTTAGACTTTGATATGTGTGGGTAAGCTGATTTCTCTATGAAAATATTTGAGAAATTTCTACAATATTTTATTCCTTGGGACATATTTTACAAAATAGATCAAAATATGTTCTTAAAGCTAGGCACGTTTAATTTTCTGCTGAAGTCAAGATGATAATGAAGATTAAAAAAAGGAAACATGAAAAAATTGTAGGAATCTTCCCTTTAGGACACTATATGTTACAGATGTTAAAAAAATTACCTTTATATTTAAACAGTTATCTGTGGGAAAATTCTGTGGATATCTATTGTTACAAGAAATTTAAGTAAAAATTAGCTATGACACTCCATCCACATACACTTCATTGATTAGCAGAAGTGTTTTGTCTGATGTAAGTTACTGATCTGAAACTTTATCAAGTATTTTTCTCACATTTCTTTTGGATGTATTTTCTCACTTGTGATTCTCTACTACAGTTATGGTATCTGTTGAAGACCATGTTAAATTTAAAGACTTTTTTCTGTATTTGTCTTGCTGTTTCTGTTTACATTTAAGACATATGCTGCAAAATGCTATGTTTTTGTTAGATCTACTTGTTTTCATATCAGCAAACACTCAGTTTTTCAATATTCTGTATTTCAGTATGATGTGCCCAGTTGAGCAAAATATTTTCCTCTGGAAAGGGTTGGCTCAAAGTCCTTTACAGTTTCAAAAGTGTCATTTGAAAGAGATGGGCTTGGGCAGCACAGTTCAGATCTGGATGGGAGCCAAAGCTTCCCTGGAATTCAGAGGCATGTGGGAGGTGGACACTGTGTTTTGCTTTACTGGGTGCTCCAAGTTGTAACTTCTGCATTAGCACCAGTTGGCATTGCTCATGCACTCCAGCTTCTGTTGCAGCTACATGGTAGCTCAGCCCTCCTAACTTCTGTGCAGCTGGGTTCATACCGGATTTAATTAATAGTGGATCTATATTATAGGTTCAAAAAAATCCATTGTTATCATATGGTTTTAACTTCCTGCATACCACAGGGTGTATTCTTTGATCCCTTTCTTGCTTTTAGTCTAGTGGCTGAAATAGAGCTTATCTTTGAGAAAAACATCCAATCTTGACTGAAAAATTTCCAGTGCTGGAAAACTTTTCATCACTCTAAGTAATTTCTTCCAAAGGATAATTAACCATACAATGGAAAACTTGCATTTTGCTCCTCATCTAAATTTTAGTACCTTTAACTTCGACTTGTCAGACCTCTGTGCTAGACTGTAGAGCTCTCTGTGATCACGTTCCTATTCCTTATAGATTTCTTATAGATTTATTTATTCACTATGAATAAATCATACCTTACTTTACTTTTTAATAAACCAAATAGCGCTTCTCATGTCTGTCTTAATGCAACTATTTTCCAGGCTTACAGTCATTTTTAATTCTCTTCTCTGAATCATCTCCATATTTTCACTTTCCTTCTAGAACTGTAAAAAGGAAAATTAGACACAGAATTTCAGTAGTAGTTGCACGAGTGCCTAAAAAGAGATAATACCTATGTTCCTATTCAATACTTTCACTTATACATCCCAAAGTTCATCCTTTTAATCAAATGTTACCCTGTAATCTCAAATTTGTATTCAACATCCCAAGTCTTTTTATATGCTCTGGTTTCCAGGATAGAACTCTTGCATTGAGCTATATCCTGTTTTCATTATTTGTATGACCTTAAATTTAGACATAAAATAAATTGTGTTGGGCAGATGAAAAGACAATGTATCTAATAACCTGACTGCAACAGGAAGGGAGACGTGATAATCAGGATGGAAGTTTTCTGTGGTTAAAGGTCATCTAGCACTCCAGATGTCCTGACCTCTGATTTCCACAAGTGTGGGAAACTTGACTGCATAACTTGTAGTAGTGTGAAGCTCTGTTCATGTTCTACCAAGGCAGAAGAAACCCAGGACCATGAATGCCCAGGGCAAAGTAAGAACAGGGCAAACACACAGCTTTCTAATACTCTCCAAGCCCCCACCTGTTTTTAGCTCAGGGAGTTGAAAATTGAATGAGGTATTTATGTTTTTACTGTCCTTTACTGAAATCTTTTAGCTTTCACAGAATCCTTTCACAACTAGTTTCACTAGTCTGTTGCCTCATTTGAAGAACCAACTCCCTTTATCTCTTTTTAACCTGAGTCCTATTATACCTCATTATTAAAAGAGATTGTATTAAAAGAGACATTGGACAGTCAATCCCCATCTGTCCCGCTCAATGCCATCCCTAACATTGTAGACCTCTATCATATACCTTCAGACATCCCTCTTCTAGACTGAAAAAAACTTGCATTATCTTTGCTGCTCTTCTCTGAGACTTTTCCAATGCTATAGTAACCTTCCTGAAACTGAGGCTGCAGAACTGCAGGAAGTTTTTAAGGTGAATGTGAACCATGGATTTATGCAGTGGTATAGTAACATTCTGTGTTCGCTGTTTTTTTCCAAATAAGTCCTAATATTCCATTTGTTTTTTGATTGCCATCTATGCTAACTCCAAGATATCATTTCTAATTTTTAATGGTCAGCTGACAACCTATCATTTCATCTATGGAGTTAGGTTTGTTTTTTCTGATGTGCATCACTTCTCATTTTATCATTTGCTATTTTATTGCCCTCTTAGTCTTACTAAGTTCTTTATCAGTTTGTCACAATAGACCCTGAATCATAATATCATCAACAAACTTTGTCACATAACTAGTCCTTCCATTTTCAGGGTGTTTATAAGTATGTTGGATTGCACAACTTCAACACGGATCTGTGGAACTCCACTAAATCACATCCCTTTATTGAACCGACTATTTGTTTTTATCGCCAGTTTCCTATCCTTTAGTCATTCTTTTCAATCCTTGCAATGACCTTTCCTCGTATAATATAGTGGCTTAGTTTCTTTAAAAGGTATCAGGGAGGGACTTTGTCAAAATCCTTATGGAGTCCAGTTAGACATATCAACTAGATCACCATCACCACAGGCTTGATAAGTTTTGTAAGGTAGGACTTAACAGATCCATGGTGACTCTAAGTATATCATATTGTTACAAGAATATCATATCATTTTTAGACAGATGTCTGCTAATTCTATTCTTTATTACAGTCTACCAGTTTGTCCAGCACAGATGTTTGGCTAAAAGGCCTTGGATAACCCTTGAACTCTTTTCAAAGTTGACATCACATTTGTTGTTTCCCAGGACATTGGTAACAGGGCAATTTGAAGCAAGAGGATACATGCCACTTCTACTGAATCAACTATTTTACCCTCTTTCCTTTATAACTCAGTTGAAAACTATCTAATAATGGCAACTTGTTATTGTTCACAATGTCAGGGTTCTTCTATAAAAACTTTCTACAGTGACTTCAGTTTCAGAAAAATCCTCTGAAATGGCTTCCACAATGGATGATTCCAGTTGAGATCTCTCTGGTTTCTTCCAGAGTGAACACCAATGCAAAGAATGCAGACAGCTTCTCTGAAATGTCTGTATCTTCACTGTGTGTTCTTTTGCTACCTGCAAACACTCATACAAAACTCACAATATTCGACTGCCTAATTTACTAGTCCATTCACAGCAAGCCATGTTAGTAATGTCACCTGTGCTATTCACTCTCATTTCAATCTCTATGCCATTTGCAGACTTTATCAATAATTTCATTTCTTACTATGTCTGTGTTAACACCATAGAATCAAAATAATCTAACATGTTTCTTCTCTAGTAGTAGTTTTACTAGTACTAGTAGAAGAGATTAAGTTTTATATTAAGTGCACTTTACACGTTTGTTAATTATTTGCTTTATTTTAGGGAGGTAATCCAACAGCTACTGTAATCGCGTTGTGTTCAATGAGAGATTTCAATCTGGCTCAAGAAACTTGTCAGCTGGCCATCAGAGACGTTGGATGTCTTGAAGTGTTAGTTAATTTACTTGATACAGAAGAAATTAAATGTCAGGTAAGCAGCTTTGTCGAATACAGCAATGAATATGCCTTTTCTATTAGAATACTTTTTCAATTTTCAAAGTTATATAGTATAAAGAAAATTGATTTCTTTCTTTTCTCATTTCTGTATTTTCTCGATTTCAAAGATGTTTTTAGAAAAAAATCCAATTTCTTTGAGTTTCAGTTTCTTTCTTCTGATTCAATTTAAAAGATAAAGTGTTTCAGATAATCCAGCATTTTAAAAACTTTTTCTGTTTATGTATACTTAAATAGCATTTAACTTCCATTATATTCCATTATTTAGATTGGTTCATTAAAAATCCTGAAGGAAATTAGTCAAAATACACTGATCAGACATGCAATTGCAGACCTTGGGGGCTTACAGATCATGGTGAAAATACTGGACTCTCCAGATAAAGATCTAAAATGTTTGGCAGCTGAAACAATTGCTAATGTTGCTCGATTTAAACAAGCACGAAGGACAGTAAGGCAGCATGGAGGGATCAAGAGATTGGTAAGCAGACATTAAAATTTGTACCCCGTCATATGCATAGTTTTGTCCAAAAATGCATCATATGTAGTATACATGATTCTTGTGGTAGTGTTTGCCATCATTAAAAAGCAGTATAATATCAAACTTTCCTGTAGATAATTAAAAAAATGGGTTTTTTTAGGTTGGGCTGTTGGACTGTATTTCTGTGGGATCAACCAGTCTGACACCATCTCAAGCAAAAGACACTGAAATAGCACGTTGTGGGGCTTTGGCACTCTGGAGCTGCAGCAAAAGCATCAAAAATAAAGAAGCAATCCGTAAAGCTGGTGGCATTCCATTATTAGCAAGATGGCTCAAATGTTCACATGCAAACATCTTAACCCCAGTAGTGGGGACACTACAAGAATGTGCCTCAGAGGTGAGTAAACACATATAGCTAAGTTATTTCTAATCATTAAAATAATTAGCTACTAAAAGGAAGCATTACATTTGACTGTAACTTAAACCAGGGCAGTTATCCCATCAGGAAGTAGATCCTTTGTGTGGTCAAACTGATTTTGAGAAGGTCACAGCTTGTAATGAAGTAAAGACCACATATTTTTTTATTTAAAAGGCTAGGAGTAGTTTGTGGAAGAAAATATATAGAAATTAATTCCTTAATCAGTTTCATTTTTTTCCTCATTTTTTTGATCATACTTGAAAAATTTGGCAACTTAAGATGCTATATAGCAGTACATTTAAATACTACAAAGCTAACCTGCAGATGTGGCCAAGGAGATCCAATGCTGTGCAGGGCAGTGTAGCTTACACTGTCCTTGTGAATTGGGTAAGGCGGTGTCTGATTGATTGCAAAAAGAAAGGAATATATGTGATTTTTCTAAAGATTTACTTGGCAGGTTTCACAACTTCAAGTATATTCAGTTTTTAAATTTGAATACAAGTATTTTTTACTGTCGCCATATAAGATGAGTGGTTATTTCTCCATTTGTGGAATCATATTTGAAATTAAGGTGCATTGTGCTTAAGGTCAAAAATATATACTTAAGTTTTCTTGGTGAATTTGAGACATGGAAAATGTGATTTTCCAAAATATTTTACACTATAAAACACTTTATATTTTCAAAATTAGCTTCTTGAACTACACAGGTTTATGCATGCTCCATGAGACAGCAACCTGGCAGATTTTAGCTTCACTAAGTCTATATTGAGAAGGTGAAGTTTTTGAGGGTTTCTTATCTGGCCATATTTGGAAATAACACTAAATGCATCTCTTAAACAGATGTTTCCCCTCTCTTAAATAATGGTCCCCTGTTATAATGCCTGTGGGTTAAAATTTGGAAGAAAAGATCTCTAAAAATTTTTAATTCTAAGAACATGTTTTTCTAATCTGGTTCTAGGAATAGATCTGTTGTTTTGGCTGCTGGCTTTCGATGAAATGAGTGGGTATTTCTTGATCCCATTCTGAAGCATCTTTTTCTTCCTTGGCTCTGAGCAGGGAGTCTGGACACCTTTCAGAATGTTCTGAATTCTGTTTAAGCCAGGTGGCTACAAAATAGGCATTGCAGCACCTGGTTTTACAGGTGATTTGAAAAGCACTGCAGAGAATTTATGTATTTGATTAACTTTGAGAACATGAATAGTATTTTCAAGGCAATGCAGGTGACTTGTGCTTAAGATAAAGTACAAGGCTTCTCAATATCAAAGCTTGGAATTGTAGCACTGTATTATTGTGACTAGTGTTATTAACTGTTAATATACAGGATTCAAAAGATGCAGTTTATCTTTTTAGCCAAGTTACAGACTTGCAATAAGGACAGAAGGAATGATTGAGAACCTTGTGAAAAATCTGAGTAGTGAACATGAGGAGCTTCAGATGCATTGTGCAAGTGCCATATTTAAGGTAATTATATTATTATAATCAGTAGATCAGAGCCAGGATTAGCCCTTTGTTTTCATGTGGTTGTCAGTTTTAATATTGCTTAGTTTTACTATTTCTCTAATGTGTAAGAAATTACTTCATAAAAATGTTGATAGTCTTTGGCTTAATTCTTAGGAGAATATTTTAGCTGCATAATTAATATTGTAATTAAGTTCCTACTTGCTCTTCTTGTATGCAAGCCCTAAATTGCACAGGTAACCAATGGAGAGAGGCGGGGTGTACTGTGCAAAGAGCTGGCTTGGTTTTTTTGTGTTTGTTTGTCCACAAGGTGGACGATGTGACAGTATAAGCACTGCTGCATATACAGTAGTCATTTACTGTCAAACTCTCTTAGTGAGTTGTTAGCGTATTCAGATACTTTAATAAAATATTTATATTTTCTTCCGTATTAGTTTTTACTACTTACAACATAATACACCTAGCTTTTGAAGACATCATTTTACACGTTTTACATGATATATATGTTTAATTTTTTTGCATAGTGTGCAGAAGATAAAGAAACACGTGACCTGGTTAGACAGCATGGAGGTCTACAACCGCTGTCTGTTCTGCTTGGTAACTCTGAAAACAAACAACTTTTAGCAGCTGTGACAGGAGCAATCTGGAAATGTGCAATCAGTGGAGAAAATGTGTCAAAGTAACAATTTAATTTTACATTTATTACATTATCATGTTTTGATTTTATGGGTCTCTATTGTTTTCAAAATTGTTATGTTATGATTCTTCAAAACCATACTTTATAATCAGTTGGGCTTTCAGCTTAGGTTTTATAGTACTTAAAAAATTGCCACCTGACCTCGTCAGGGTACGGTGGAAACAGTGTTGAGTTCCTGGAACCTTAAGAGTCAATGGTGCCTCTAAAGAATAGTTAAGATATAGGACACTGAGTCGGGAGGTGTACTAGCACATACTAAACGTTTGACACTTGGGCGTTTCTGATACCTCGCTCCTCTCTGTAGCTTACAAACCAGAATCACTGCTGCATGGTAGAAAGAGCAGTTAGCACACTTAGCTTTAATGTTTTATGCCAAGAGAGACAGAGAGCAAATTATCTCGTTCTAGGGGAGATATATAATACACATTAGGTCCACCTACTTTAGAAATATACTAGAATCTAGGATAATTAGCCTAGATGCCTCTCTCCTTGACTACAGAAGGGGCTCAGAAAAGTAGCTTAGTCTGGACACCCAGCTTTTAAATGAGTGGAATTACTTGATGAGAGTCCTACCATAGGTACCTACAACCTTTCAGTATCAAGATTCTGAGTGATTATCTGAGAATGTGACAGCAGGAGTTATCACCCTTCACCTTTCATGGAAGAGCTTAATGATTGAGAATACTCGACCCCCTCATCTAAAATTCATTTATCAGATTCATGCACCTTACCTCAAAAAAAAGCCTGCTCCACTGGAGTATGTTCTAGGCTTCACAGTGAAGTTATGCTGCACTGTACAGAGGAATGTAAGATTCATAGGCTGGAAGGGGTATCAGTAAGAGGTAACCTCTTCCTGCAGTCCTAATTTTGGTGTACTTTGCTGGACAAGCAGATATGATAGATAACTGCTGGATAAAAATCAGAAAGAATTCCAGTAATAAGGGTTTACAGTCTGGCTTTTTACTGTCCTAAATGAGTTCCCAGACTGCTGGTATACAGAGCTGTGGTCTTTACATACTCTACTGCTGTCCTGCTGCTTTTGGCATTCTTGATTGCACAGTAACCTTGCTTTTCATAAGGGTATATCCTTCTTTCCTGTGGGATTTGGGTATTTGCACAGAGGCATCCTCATTCTGGATCAATCAGTAATGAGATGGACTGAATGGCTCTCTCTATACTAGTAAACTAAACAAGGCCAAACCTTTCAGGGTTCAGGCACTATGTTATGATTATCCATACTGTTTAACTGCTAGCACAGTCCCTTACACAGCTTGGCCTGTGCCAGCAAGCACTCTCCCAGACAATGCCCAGACGCTTCTTGGGAACAGTGCAGGCAACAGATTGTTTCCATCAGGCAGAATGGGTGAGGCCACCCTGAATTGTGAGGATAAGAGATTTTAGCCATATGGATGCTATGTTGTGCTTCTTGTCCTCAAGGTTAGAGAATGAGCCATGGCCTGTTTTATTTATTAGTATAGCTGTAGCCAATAGTTCTGTCCAAATGCAAACAGATTTTTGCTGGGCTACTCACATATCTTTGGCAACTGCTTGATGCTCCATGAAGGTTGCTAGCCAGGCGCAGCTCCAGACTTGAGCTGAATTCATGTATTATGTAGTGCTGAGTCTGAAGCAGTAAACCCTATCCCAACTCAAGATGGGAGGGCACTACAGAACAGAGAGAGAGGGTAATATGAAAACACGTAAGTAGATCTGAAGGGATGAGCTTGAGTCTGGCATGAAGCTAGAACTAACAAACCCTGCTGGTTCCTGCACAGCCACTTAATTATCTTCGAACTACTCCACAGTATTTCCTGTACCTGAAGTACATTGCTGAGATGTTGTGCTGACTCAGCAACGAGCTGATACAGGTGCCTGGGCCTGACTAGCTCAGATTCCAGTTTGCGTGCAAGCAGCCGTACTGCTTCTGGACACAAGATGGCCCGAGCCAACAGCTCTGGCCATTGCAGAGCCAGCTCATATGGTTCCATCTGTGAAGCACTTGATATGTAACACAGATAAAGTAGCCAGAGAAAATCGGGGAGGGGGGTTAGTTTGCTTGCTTTGTTGATCTTTTTTTCATGCTGTTGATTTTTTCTCTTGAAAAAAATTTACAGGGATACTTCCAAATTATAGTGAACAAAGAGGGGAAGATTCCTCCTTAAGCAAAGGCTTGAATCATGAAAAATGAAAATTTCTCATTTCTCAGTTACTTTAATTGTTATACTGATAAACCAGCTTGGAAAGATTAACTTTTATTGAAACAGTTCTAGTTCTGCCATCAAAATCTGAAAAATACTATTTTTTTTTATGAAAGAAAAGCCACATGTACAACTGATTCCTGGAAAATACAGAGTATTTGTAGCTGAAGTAGGAATTTCCAGAAGCTAGGGGCTGTAGGGGAAGCACAAATGAGAACACTATATCCTCAGAGAAATTATCTCTTTAGGGGAGGAACTATGTGTATTTACACAAAGGTATAAATCAAAGCATAATTATTAGATAATATACAGGTTACATCTAGCTTGATATACCAAGTGGAATTGTCAACATGTATCATAGAAAATGTATGAAAGGAAGATACAATATTTGTTAAGTGTTAAGAATCTTCTAAGTTCTGGACAAAATGAACTTAGAAGACAACCTTGGTACTGAGGAGTAAAGTCCTATTCTGAAAGATGAACTTCTGAGGTTTAGCATGTATCTGTTTGTAGGATGGCACTGCCAGGATTTTTAAAAACATGTTTTTGATTTTCAGTACCAAAAGTGCTATGAAGAATGAGGGAAGTATTAATATAGCAGTCAACTCAAATTTCTGTCGATTTATTACTTGATTTCAAAATGGAATCTTAACATAGATGAGGGGATGAGGGGATCAAGTGCACCCTCGGTAAGTTTGCAGATGACACCAAGTAGGGCGGGAGTGTTGATCTGCTGGAGGGTAGGAAGGCCCTACAGAGGGGTCTGGACAGGCTGGATCGATGGGCCGAGGCCAACTGTATGAGGTTCAACAAAGCTCAGTGCTGGGTCCTGCACTTGGGTCACAACAACCCCATGCAACGCTACAGGCTGGGGGAGGAGTGGCTGGAGAGCTGCCTGGTGGAAAAGGACCTGGGGTGCTGGTCAACAGCCAGCTGAATATGAGCCAGCAGTGTGCCCAGGTGGCCAAGAAGGCCAATAGCATCCTGGCTTGTATGGGAAATAGTGTGGCCAGCAGGACTAGGGAAGTGATCGTCCCCCTGTACTCGGCACTGGTTAGACCGCACGTTGAGTACTGTGTTCAGTTTTGGGCCCCTCACTACAAGCAGGACATTGAGGTACTGGAGCGTGTCCAGAGGAGGGCAACAAAGCTGGTGAAGGGTCTGGAGCACAAGTCTTATGAGGAGCGGCTGAGGGAGCTGGGGTTGTTTAGCCTGGAAAAAAGGAGACTGAAGGGAGACCTTATCTCTCTCTACAACTACCTGAAAGAAGGTTGTAGCGAGGTGGGGGTCGGTCTCATCTCCCAAGTAACAAGTGATAGGACAAGAGGAAACAGACTCAAGTTGCTCCAGGGGAGGTTTAAGTTGAATATTAGGAAAAATTCCTTCACTGAAAGGGTAGTCAGGCACTGGAACAGGTTGCCCAGGGAAGTAGTTGAGTCCCCATCCGTGGAGGCATTTAAAAGAGGAGTAGATGTGGTGGTTAGGGACGTGGTTTCGTGGTGGGCTTGGCAGTGCTAGGTTAACAGTTGGACTTGATGATGTTAAAGGTCTTTTCCAACCTAAACGATTCTATGATTCTATAGTACAATAGAAATGTGCTATAACTGTAGGTCTGGCCTTAGGAAAAAGCACTTATTAGGCCTGAACTAAGTATAGAACTTGCCAGGGCAAACCCTTTAAAGGCTAACATTTTGTGAAAAGTAAGGGAGATGCTTTGGTCCAGGGAGGTGGAAGAGGGTCTGATATACTACTACTCTAGCTATTGTTAACATGGCAGGAAAAAGTACTGGAAGTTAGGATGCCACAGTACTTGCCAGTCTTCCAGTATGTTTTCAGTTATTTATAGATGTTGCATCCACATGTCAAGTTTTAAAAAACTCTCAAACTACTCTGCAGATTCCTAGATAGCTAAATTAGAGAAATGTATTTTAAAAGGTAGAGTGAGAAATTATGCTGTGTGTCACACTTTCAAGAACTGGTTGAAGTGGTTTACCTGTATTGTGATTTCTTCAGCAAGATACTTTACATACAGAAATTAAACATTATACTTTAATTATAATTATACTTTAATTATAAAATTACACTTATAACAGTAACATACTGAAAATAACAACTTCCATTTCATTTCTGTATTTTAGATTTCGGGAATATAAAGTCGTAGAAGCTTTGGTAGGACTGCTCACTGACCAGCCTGAAGAAGTTCTTGTAAATATTGTCGGAGCACTGGGAGAATGTTGCCAAGAGCCAATAAATCGAACTATTATCCGTAAATGTGGTGGAATACCACCTCTAGTGAAGTTGCTTACTGGAACTGATCAGGCACTACTTGTGAATGTCACCAAAGCAGTGGGAGCTTGTGCAACAGAACCTGAAAATATGATGTAAGCTGTTCATATTCATAGCATTTTAAATATTGAAAAAAAAATTTTTTTTTAGTAATTCTGGCACAAATATAGTCAAGTCTTATCTGACTTAAAAGGATATTTTAATTTTCCACAGGGCTGTGTGGGTTAGTTACATCCTACTGTAAAATGTACTATATATTAAAAAAAATTTCATTAAGGAAGTATATGGAATATAAAGCTTTTACATTTTTTGGAAAATCAGATAAACAGAGCATTATTTTAAAGTGCTGTATGATAGGTACCTGTTTTACCTTCTTCTTTTACATCTGTTCTCAAATCATAAATAAGAGCCTAAATTAGAGAAAGTAATTCCAAAAGGAAATGTGCACATTTACTGTCATGAAAAATCATTTGAAAATTTTTAAAGTATTACTTGTATTTTATCTGTTATGGCCCTCTCCATCATTCCTTTTATGAACTCAGACTTCTTTTGACCCTTTTCTCCCCTCTTATTCCTTTGCAAAACCAAAGAAAAAGACTGTATTTTTACTGAGAGAGTTGCTGCTCTCTTTGGTTTTGTGATGCAGATTTGTACAGCTTACAAAGATCCTTCAGTTTTATGATTAAGTGTTCCAGTTAAGTGTACAGTTAAATGTTGAGGAGAGCATTTACTGTGCTTACCATTCCCTTACAGGAATATTTACCTCAAGATTCTCAGCGTATTTCCCTCCTTATACATAAGAAAGGTCAGAAAGAGAGTTTTATTAAGCTCCTCCTGTTCTGATTTGCATAATTCACTTGATATTCATATAACAGTGCAGGGAATTCTTTTCCTGAATAGGGCTTTTGTTTTCATGCTTTGGCTGTCACCCAGTGGCAAAAGGCTAGATGGTACACAACTGTAAACATGGGTTGTGTGAACAGTTAGCCACGTAGCATAACAGCGTACATAAATGAAATCACTTTCACAACATGTCTCACTAAAAATCAGCTTTAGAGTAACGTATCAACCTAACAGAATCAACATTGTAAATCAACTGAGAAATGTAAATGCCAATAAATATAAATTGATAGTTATAAAACCTCAGCCATACTCCAATACTCAGGACTATCACTTGTAGTATCCAGTATGGATAGCTTCATACTGGAATGTGGTCAGTATAAGCACCAAAAATCACGTAAGTTGCTGCTAAAATTGTGATGAACAATCCATCTTGTTTTTAAGAAAGAGGGAGTACAGATTGTTTGGGACAAAACTTCATGGAGTTTACAAAGAGTGGACAAAGGGATAAAATGTCAAATTTGGTTAATCTGAAAAAATTCTCTATTGAAGGTTCTCAACTTTTAAAATGGTTTTTAAAATATTTTGAAACATTAACAAGTAAGCAAGATCTTAGATCAAGAGTAGAATATACTTTTTACTACTACAAAAAACCCGTTACACAGAAATTATTATTTTTAGCAAGACTGTGACATGTACCTGATGTATTGTGCTATTTAGACTTGTAGTACTAGAAGAGATAATGCTGCTATCTTTTCCCAAAGCGTGATTCATCCAGGTGTGGGTAAGTTTGATACTGATCCAGGTAAATATTTAAAGACAATGCTTAGTTAAAACATTGACATCAGTGCAACACGTGTTTAAACGATTTGCTTGGTTGAGTGCTCTGCCTCTCACAGGGTTAAGATATTAGATTCCTACCCCCCTTCTCCCCCCCCAAAAAAAAGGGACATCCATTCCTCTCCCTTCTCCTCCTCTCAGACCAGTAGAGCATGAATTGAAATTGTAGCTCCTCATCCAAACTGCTCTCCTCCTTTTTGGGAAGAGTAATTCACCAAAGACATGAAGGATACATAGTCTGGAGCATCACTGTTCCATTTACAGACTTTGGGACTAAAACAATGAGTAACCTTGTTAGAAGCTACTGTGGAGTTCTTTCTCTTTCTGTAAACGTTTTCTGAAGTTCTTAACCAAAAGGACACATCTTAACAAGGGTGTGGAGATGTGCTGTAGTGGGATGACCCTGGCTGGATACCAGGTGCCCACCAAGCCACTCTATCACTCCCCTCCTCAGCTAAGCAAAGGAGAGAAAATATAACAAAAGGCTCGTGGATCAAGATGGGGACACAGAGATCACTTACCTATTACCATCACAGGCAAAACAGACTCGACTTGGGGAAATTGGTTTAATTTATTAGCAATCAAATCAGAATAGGGTAATGAGAAATAAAACCAAATCTTAAAACACCTTCCCCCCACCCCTCCCTTCTTCCCAAGCTCAGCTTCACTCCCAATTTTCTCTACCTCCTTCCCCTGTGTGGCGCAGGGGGACGGGAATGGGGGTTGTGGTCAGTTCATCACACATTTTCTCTGCCGCTCCTTCCTCCCCAGGGGAGGACTCCTCACACTCTTCCCCTACTCCAGCGTGGCATCCCTCCCACGGGAACC